TCTCCCCTGTGTAATCAGCACCCCACCCCCCAGTGACATCTCCCCTCTGTAATCAGCACCCCCCTAGTGAAGTCTCTCCTGTGTAATCAGCATCCCCCAGTGACATCTCTCCTGTGTAATCAGCACCCCCCCAGTGACGTCTCCCCTGTGTAATCAGCACCCCCCGCCCTCCCAATGATGTCTCTCCTGTATCTTTCTTTTGCTTTGAATTCCAGGCCAGTATCAAGAACTGAAATATTATGATCTTTCTATTTAACCTTTTGAGTTGTCTCCCAGAAATGGGAGAGTCTTTGCAGGATAACACCAAGACTCAAGCCTCTGTCATCAACCTGTGACCTCTGAATAGGACGTCCTGCATCCCGAGACTCCCCATCCATCCCCAACCTGTGGCTTCTGAATTTGGCCTCCTGCACTTTCAGCACAACCTTCCCCCAAACACTCAGCCCCTCTCCTCTGTCAGTCAGGGAGATGGACTCAAAGCAGTTTCCCCATCTCCTAGGTGACATCATCTGTAATAAATGACCTTGTTCCCATGACAATCCTCATTGTCTCAGTAATTGGTGTTCTGCAGGTGAACAATCTGACCTAGGCCGGACCTTCCTTGCCGGCTCAGTGACAAGTTCAGCCAATGATTTATTTCCATTGTTCTGTATTATTCTCCAGGCTCTGTTTATGCATGTAGTTTTTATGTAGTTGTGTCCCTAGCTGGAATATGTTTTGGAGTGTTGCTTTTTTAACATGTCATGTTGTATCTGGGAGTTGTCCCTGGTGCTGTCTCATAGTTTTCATAAAGGACCTTTTACAGTGATGATGCAATCTTCCACCAACTAAATATACATGTGTGATTTTTTCCCCTAAAATACTTTACAAAGCTATCCCAGGACAGCCCAATCCTTAGTTGCCACTTTTGTGTTTTACAGGCTCTGGGAAGAACCAAAGCCCTTGCCAGCTGCTAAAATTCATGCAATGGTCACTGAATCCCTTGGAAAAATCCCTTCTTGCCTTTTCTTTGGGATAGAGATAGTTTGGGCAAAGTCAGTTATTTTAACATCTATAATGCTACTTGGTTTTTATCTGTGCACTTCCCTCCTCCTTACAGAAAGGTCAGGAAAAGAAGAGGACACCAGGGGAAAGAGAAATGGAACAGAGAGAGCAGGACACATGACGTAAGTGCCAAAGACAAGTTTTGTCTCCTTTAAAATGTTCCTGGAGTTACATCTGAGCACCACTCCTGAGGACTGCAGGGGCACTTGTTATCACTGTCTGTGTTTTCAGATGGGAAAGTGGAAGCCACCGAGGTTTAGTGGCTGCCTGAGGCCCCGTGGCAGCGGCTGCACAGAGGACCTGAGGATCCCTTGGCCCAACTCCTGCACTAGAGTGTTGCTCATTAGAGCCCTGACAGCCATTCACCCAGACCCCGCGGACGGCCCTGCTCCAGAATGCAGGCCAGGAGAACCTCCCAAGGGCCAGGCCACCGGCAGCTTCCAGCACACAGCTTTGCAGCTGCTCCCATCATGACCCTCCCCGCAAACCAGAAAACCAGGCTACTCCAGAAGTTACAAGGCGTCTATCTACTTCCCTTTGGGAAAGAGACTCATCCTTCCTTCCGTGTCTCTCCCAAAGCCAGAGTTGGGGGCCTTTTGTGGCAGGAACATGTACTTGGCAAGGTGTGACACTCAGGGAGTCTGGAGCCAGCTGCCTGACTCAGGCCCCCTGCTAGCCCAGGCAGAGCTTTGGCTCATGCTAAAGGGCATACTCTCTGCGTGGGGTGTGGCTAGGCAAGTGAAGTCTCTAAGAATTTCCATGGCTGGAGCCCTTCGTGGGAAGTGAACGACCTGCGTGAGCGCCATGTGGATGCCCGGCCCATCCTCTACTCGTGGGTGATGTGAGCACAGTGTGCCTTCCTCAGCCCTGGCTTCCCATCTGTAAAGTAGGCGTGGTCGGAGGTTGGTAGGGGGTTAAAGGAGATACTAAGTGTAAAATGCCCAGGATGGTGCCCGTCAGCAGTGAGCAGGCATTCAACAAAATAGCAGCTGTCATCATTAGCTGCTGAAGTCATAGCTTGGCTTGATAAAACAAGAAAAGCCCATACTCTTTCAGCTTCTCTGCAGAAGCTTGATTTGCCTAGGAATGTATTTTGTAAGTGGAGAGCAATTATGAAAAAGGGAGGTGAGATTCACAGTAGGTTATTTGCTATCATTTTGATATAAATGTTACGATTCTTTTTGGTTGCCCCGTCTCAAGTAGGCTTATCTGATAAGGAATTTCTAATTACAGGCTTGGTTCAGGAGAGGATCCTTTGTAAGTGCACACCCTGACACACCCTTACCTCTGGGGAACACTTGCAATTGTGTGGGATGTCCTGGGCATTGGGACAGACAACTTCATTCAAGTTAATATTTGGCCAATTCTTATTCTTCTCCTGAATGGTAGAGTGAGTGATACAAGTGAGTGATTCAGAAGCAAAAGCTGAGGAATGTCTGATTTGCATAGGCTTACAAACGAGCCTCCTAAGAAAAAAGAACAAAAACCAGCTCCGATCAGCTCTCAGGCCAGGTGAGACCCAGCTCAAGCAGCTCTTCTGTGCCCAGAAGACATAATCCCTCATTATTTAAACATTTTGGTTGCAAGGAAACATTTACAATTTAGCTCTGGGTACTTTAAATTTTTTTCTGACAATTAATAAATAGAACAGTACCTTGTGTGTTTGTACAGTCTCGGGAGGCCCACATGAACTATCAGCTTATGTAACAGGGGACTGCTTGCCTTTTCCGGATGAACTTGTCTTCCAGGGAGCACATCTGTCATAATTCAGCACAACTGTCTTGAAAGGAAGCATGTAGTCTTTTTTTTTTTTTTTTTCTGAGACATGGTCTCATTTTGTCACCCTTGGTAGAGTGCTATGGTGCCATAGCTCACAGCAACCTCAAACTCTTGGCTTCAAGCAATTCTCTTGCCTCAGCCTCCCGAGTAGCTGGGACTACAGGTGCCCTGCACAATGCCTAGCTATTTTTAGACACCAGGTCTTGCTCTGGCTCAGGCTGGTCTTGAACCATGACCTCAGGCAACCCACCGCCTTGGCCTCCCAGAGTGCTAGGATTACAGGTGTGAGCACTGCTGGCCTAGGAAGCCTATAATCCTTAAACACTTCTGTGGCTCTCTGACCTGGA